GGATATATCCAACAGCACCATTTACAAGTCATTTCGAGACGTCAATGTTGGATCTTATCATGACTTTGGCTCTTATAAATATTAGCAATTCACGTGGCAAGCCTCCAGTCTTATTGATGTCCTTTGGAATTATTGTGTTTATTTCGATATTTTCAACATTTATTGCGGTATCTACTAATTGGCCTTGTGCTGTTGTTGTGTACATATGGGTCTTAAAAGCTCTGAAGTATTGAAGCACTGCTTCATTATGAGCATTAACTTGATTCTTCGTTGGATAGATTCGCATAGCTGTATCTATGGTAACTCTCCAATTGGTTCTTGAAGACGTCTGCTTTCTAATACTGCAAAATGCTCAGCTCTTATTTCTCCAACTCGCAGTGCATTCAATACAGTGATGAACATAGTATCACCTTGCTTTCTCATATTTGCTTTCAGCTCGCACAGTGTGAATAAACTCCATACATGAGTGGCTGGTTGTAGATGTTCTGGCTGACCATATATCGGAGTGACAGTTGTGTGTTTTGGTCTAACTGGAAGAAACTGCATCAAATCGCCAAAGAACAAGACACTGATACCACCGAACAATTGATCGTACTTATTCTTCAGCTGTCGAAGACGCATATCAATCATGCATAGCCTCTGATATGAGACCATTGATATGTCATCGATGATGATTCAATGTCCTTCCATTGTAATGTCGGGTTAATGGTGACATGGTAGCGCTTCAACCATCTCTTTGAACAGGCAATTTGAATGTGGAATGAATAGTTGATCCACCGATAAGGCGCGCAGCGACTTCAGTTAACGCACAGATGACAGCTTTCTTTGCAAAGCAACGATTGCTTTGATATTTCAACAATTTCAGTCGGAATGTTTTGGCCACTGAAGACTCTTAGGTGTTCACGAGTCTTCACTCTCAGGGTCTTCATGCAAATGTATGTTAACGCTTTTTGCGACCATTCGAAACATTTACTGTGGTCATTGCTGTACGTGCCCATTGGAATTGTTTTTCATCCATTGGCACATCTGCCGCCTCTTCTTCTTCCATCTTCCATTTGAACTGGTACAGTTTCTTCGAGATTGTTGAGTGCATGAACTTGATGTAATGCGTTCTCCAGTTGTCCGTCGTGTTCACAATGCACTTGCATATGGTCACTCGTCTGTTTGAGCTGTTGTCCATTTGCCAGAAATGCTTCCTTGCAGTATCAAATCCTTGGAATAGCTCTTGTTAACTTCTGTTTGGTTTGTATGGAACTAGAAGGCTACAATAGTAGTTTTCATGATCTGTTGCAAGCCCAAGTTATGGCACTCTAGCAACTGCTGGAACAGTTCTTTTCAGCATTTGTGATCTATCAGTGAGCGTGATGATCTCTCTTCCTCTTGCAGAGTGTTCTACCTCTTCATATGCATCTTCATCGATATTCACTTGAATATCGTCTTGTGCTTTTGCGTAATGTGGTTCTAACAACATTGCAAACTCTACCAAGCACATATCTTGATATTGAAAAGGACGCTTTTCGTATCGTTCAAAGATGTTGGCGCAATATCCAGATGCCTGACCTTGTTCATTGAATCTCAACACTCTGCATGGCAGCTCGCGTTTTCGAGTATTGAGGAAGACACATTTTCTTGAACTCGCTCGAAGTTTGAGATGACAATCGGAATACACATTCACTAGCTCAAACCACCTGTCGCTATTTCATTATTCTCATGCAGATCTTGAACAGTTTGCACGACACATCATTTTCTTCAAGTCGAATTTGCTGTATTGCTTGTCTGATTCCTGGGGAAAGTTCTGTAGGTTCAAATTTTGCAATGTACTTTGCAATGTAGTACGCGATTGACTCATTTGATCCGCATGGCTGGATGTCCATATTTCCTTTGCAGAGGTTGAGTAGTGTAGGATTGTAATTGTTAATCCATCAGTCTTCATATCTTTGCTTCAGCAAGCATATTCGACCACCATTGCTAACGAAGTCATCAGATGTTTTAAGAGACGATGCGGGTTTCAGCACAAACTTGTCGTAGAAATTTGAAGCGGCACGCTATTGATGAGTCGTCATCATTCTTCTTGCATGTGTTTGTATGATGGTGAACCTGACACTTTTTCACAAGCTCATATAGCTCAGAAGTCTCGTCCGGCTTTTTTGCTGTGCACACTTAATCCATTTTGTTGATTCCCTCAAGTGTATTGAATGAGGGATGATCTTCTATCCACACCAGCATGTGTAGATGTGGACTTCCACGGTTTTGGAACTCGATTCGCCACCAGTAATCCTTCAATCGACCACCAAACACTTCATGATTATTTGTCAATAATTGCATTAGTGCGTTAAAGAGATTCATGAAGTGTCGAGTGACTGACATGATACTGTTCGATCAATCGTTGTGTGGCATGTATGTTGAGTTAATTTTGATCTTCATCGGGTCTTTCATCAGCTATTAAGAGTGCCTTGCGCATATCAAGCCAATTCAAATAATTCCAACAGATGTCCCGAAGTATGTTTGTGGTCATATTGAACGTATTTGTCCAATCAATTCATTCAGCACTGTTTGCCAATATGCAGCTGATCCTCGAAGGTTCTTAAGGTAGAGGTGAAGATCTTTTACTCTACCATGTTGTCCTTGAACCTTCTTTCCACAAGCTGAGACGTTAGATTGGATGTGATAATACTCGAACATTGAATAATACGTAGAAGAGGTAGTCGTTTCGTTGAAATGCTGTATCACTACCCACAATTCTGAATTAAAAGTAGTCCAATAGAGTGCTTCTGACAGGTCTTACGTCTTTGAGTCCATTGTAGAACCATGCAAACTCTTCAACTTTCAAATCATGTGCTTTGTTGGCAATGTTGTTGGTTGTTTTAAGCCTTATTTCGTGAGTATTATTACAGACTTCGTATTCATCCTCCACATTTGGCTGATCACAATCTATGGAAGCCATGACTGATGTTTGTACAGGCATCGATTCCACTTGTGCTGTCATAGTTTCTTGCATTGCCTCTCGCAGATGTGGTGATGCATCTTCTTCTTCTCGCATTCCTGGATTGACAATGTAATTTTTCGGATTAACATCTATGAAGTTGATGGTGAATTGAACATTTCTTGATCCTGTTGATCATCTGCAGATTCGTTCAAGTTCTTCAATTGTGTCACACTCAATTATGCATGCTCTGCTATTGCCTGCCAGTGCACCTTTCTGACCACATGAATGTGAATCAGTGAAGTCGTATTTTTCATCGTAATGCATAATTCCTAAGTGATTTCGATCCTGTTATTAGTACGCCAGCCTGATGATTTGTGAACACATCATTAAATGCATCGCCCAAAGTGATTACTTGTGAATCGCCTTCATTGACTGAGTCTTGTAGACTTCCAACGAGTAGTGTTTCCTCATTATAGGCTACTGAGAATGAGTTGTTGAACATAATGAAGTAATTTACTATGGCATCGAAATGTTTGACTTCCAGATACAGTATCTGTTAGCTGTCACTGGATATCCTAGATTCGCAAGTTTGGTCAATCGAATGATTTCATCACCCGCAATCAAGTTCACGTTCAATGTGTTTGTGGTCCATATGCTTGGTGGCAGTATAGCAGCTCTTACAATAATTGCCAACACCATTGCACAACATTGAACACCTGCATTGGCCCATGTGTAGTGACATAGAACGGTCACTACTGTGTCGGCCTGTACGAAGGCTGGGGGCCCCAAGGGGGTGCCTGGGGGGTCACGTGGTGGAGGGATCCGGACCTTCCCAGAGGTGGGGGAAGTGAGGGCGTGTCCTGGGAAGGGAGGCGTGGCCTGAAGAGAGCCAGCCATGACGCTGCCGCATGCGGGTGACATGACAGAGATGTGGCGTCACCGCTCACTTGCCGTGCAAAATATATGCATTATTGCGTCCCCCCCCCCAGAAAAAATATACAAAAGTTATTTTTTTTAATTTTTGCATGGTATACAGTCTGGAAAGTACCCACATGCCAAATTTCAAGTTTGTTGCATGTCGGGAAGTACGCTCAACATTTTGAACAGACACACATAATCACAAATTCCCCTTTTATATATACATAAAAGATGTAATCTCAGAAATCAATCGCTGGTCTCATGAAATCACTCGTCACTCGTCTCATTCGCCACTGCCACATTGGTGTTAGCGCGAGCCATCCACAATCTTAAGCCCAGCCCCTGCGTCGGCCCCAGCCATTGGTCTCACGTGAGCGCGCGCAACCCCAACCAAATCTCTCGACTTCTTACGTAAATTTATAAAAGCACTCGTCCCCCCCCCCGTCACCCTATGTCTCACCCCATCTTTAAGCACTCCCCTCCCCCACACGGTCGTGTTCCCCTCCTTGGCGGAGCTCCCCGCGTCTGATCGCGCTCGACGCAGCGGGGACGCGCCCAGCGGTCCCCTGCGTCGGCTCCTCGTGTGCAGGATAGGGCTGGAAGATTCATCGATTTCAAATCGAAATCGAAATTTGAAACAAAACGCAAAAGGCTGCGATTTTTTTTTGTCATTTGAAAAGTCCTATTCCTCTTTATATTATTATAACTTTATTTATTTAACTTAACAATTGTTCTACGTTTGATTGTTCTATTTCAATTAAAACATTTTAATAAATACATGTTGGAAGCAATTCATATTTTTTAAGTTATCATCCTTGCATTAAAAAAAAGATAGAGCAGTTCCTATTTTGATGGTATCATGTGGTAATGCCCCATCAACATGTCTTAAATCTATTACACAGTGAATATTGAACTGAAGCTTGACTTTACAAATTTGAATCGCAAATCAAATGGCAATATCTGTCAGAAAAATGGCAATTAGATATTTTCCCCAAATCGTTCAGCCCTAATGCAGGAGGAGGAGGCGTGACGAAGAGATCGCCACCATCAACATTCATCAATCACTACCCGCGGGGTGCGTGTGAGCGCGTGGGAGGGAAGGGGCCGCTGCACGGAGCGCTCCTCCCCATCCAAGGCGGGGGATCTCCCGCCCCCGCCGCTGACGACGCCGCCGCCTCTGTTCACCCGTCGTGACCAGCAGCAGCAGCATCATTGGCATCGCCACTCGGGCCGCGTGCGTTGCTCACCGGGCGAGGCGAGGAGGTGAGATGAGCGATCTCTCGGAGAAGGAGAACGATCCGCTCCGTCCCTGCGGACGCAGCGCCATGAACGGCCACGCCGAGTCTCCGGTGAGCGCGTCCGTGAGGTGCGTGCGTGCGTGCGTTCGCCTGTCGACCTGTCTGTCTGTTTACCTGCCTGTCTGCGTATGTACCTGTCTGCGTATGTGCCAATCTGTTTATCTCTCGATCTGTCGGTGTGTCTGTCAGTCTGTTTGCTTGTCTGTGCGCTGATCGTACACTGTCCCATCATTGTCATCAACAGCACAAGCAGCAAACCGTATCCGTTAACTGTTGTGCTCAATCACCATTAACTCCATTTCTCATTCCAAGCATAATTCACAATTACATTAACAGCATCTGTCGATGATATTACTAATAGGCATACGCCGCTTATGAGAGCCCGCTGAGACAACAGGTCTCTTTAGCGAGGAATACCTTCATTCATAAAACAAATCAACATTAGGTTGATACTGAGCGACAGTGAATGAACAATAATGGTGCAGGATTAACCATTATAGAGCCCCTTCACCCCCGGGTCCCGCGATTCTACCGTTGTGTTGTTACTCAGAAGTCCCGTCTCGCATTATCGCCTCTGGCACCCCCAGTGCACGGCGCGCACTGACCAACAGATGACACAGCTGGTGGTCGTCCCTCTTCTCTGCTGTGTCTAAGGTCTAAACCCGACGTTCCACAACACAGCTGTCCACGTCTGCTTTCATCGTCACCCTGTAAGCCATGGTCTATCCACTGCTCGTGAAAGTCTGAACCATACAGCCGTCAATAACCTCACGATCTCGCACCCGCGCAGATTGTCCGATCTCACCGCTCCATCTCCGCGCTGTGTTCGTCCTCTCTGGCCGCGTGCTCTCTCCCTTGGCTGCTATTCCGCAATCAGTCTCGTCCACAATTTGGCCATCCACCCACGTTCTGGCCACGAAGTGTCCTGGCCAGGCACTCTGACTTTCCTTAACAGTCCACGCGGTGTCTTGTTCGGCTTATGTTCTTCAAGCGCTGCTGTTCGACAGCGTATCTGCCTTCGCCATTTGTGTAAAGAGTAGGCCTGTGTTGCACAGACTTAATGTCGTGTTTTCCCACATAGTGTGTCTAATACATGAAGACAATCGACACGGAGTGATACTAAGGTGTACGGTATAACGATTGTCTAAAATGGGCTAGACTGCTGAGCCTACGCAGATGAGAGCATTAAAAAAAGATCTATACAATGTACCCCAAGGATGACTAATTGTCTCCTGAGCTCTTCTGCTGAACACGTCAAATAAGCGTTCCCCGTTGTCAGTGAACCAAGTAATTCGCCCCCTGTGGAGAGTGACGCTAAAGCCGATGAAAAGCGGGCACATCTCATGAGCGGGTAATCGTTAGTATATTTAAATTAGCGAATGCGTCAGTGTGATTCGGCCCGTTCTGAACATCAGTATCGAGTCGCAATTCGATCAACTGACCAGCGTTTATAAGTCATGAAGTGACACACATTATATACATTAAATTAAAAAACGTGTACATGGTATTAGCTTGCTTTGGGTTGTGGGTCTTCATTACAGTAGACCCAGATATTCTTTATAAACGAGGAAAGTGATCTCAATGAGCTCTTACCTAATAATCGGGTTTTCCCACTTTTTTTTCTGGCAACAAAACTGAAACCTTTTTACGAGGATTCATGTCTGCATTAACCACAATGCTTGCAGTCAAAATGCAAACAAAAAGCACACTCTGATACTGGTAAAAAGAGGTCTAATGATGTAGAGCTCTTACCTGTTTGTACGTCACGGATACACACACCACAACGAGATCCTAGCGCGAGGATAAACACTCCCCTCCACATTCTTGAGCACCGTTCCACAACTGTCAGCTAAACCTCTCTGGAAAGTTCCCTTCACGGCAGAGAGGGCGCGCGTATTGGGGATTCTCACCACGCTCGGAGACTTCATTTCGCAATCGTGGTGCCGTGAATAGCCACCGGCATATATGTGAGCAGTTGTTATATTCAAGCAAAATTATTTATTTATTTGATCAGGTAAATCCCACTGAGCTGTATACCTCTTTTTTCAGAAGCGACCTGGCCACAAATGATTCCTCAACGAAGTGGCTTAGGAGCCGTCCATAAATGACGTCACGCGATTTTGTACGATTTTTGACCCCCCCCTCGTCACACGGTGTCACAAAAAGTCAGACCCCCCCTCAAATATGACGTCACAAAGCTCTGCCCCCCCCCACCAAAACCATATTTCTTTTTGAAAATAAAACATGCTTCAAATCGCTTTAAACTATTGTCATTGTAGTGCGTATTTAATGTGGCGCTGCACTCTGATGTTGTAGGAGAAAACATTTATTAAAAAGTCTATTCAATTAAGTAGAACGTGTTGTCTATATTTATTTAAAGTTGCGCATTTTGATGTGACGTCACATTTCTCAACCTCCCCTCCCCTCGTCACACATCGTCACAAATGTCTGACCCCCCCCCCTAGGTGCGTGACGTCATTTATGGACGGCCCCTTATCACGTGGAAATTTACAGCAGCCAAAGACTCTAAAACACGTGATGTTGATTCGAAATGTGGAGGGAATCACTGGAGGGCCCGGAGAAAAATCCGCGCAACCACGGGGAGAGAGACAAGCAAACTCCAAATATACAGCAGCAGGCGTCAGGGTCGGGATGGAACCCACGACGTCCTGTATACCAGGCGAGATAGTTAACATCTCGCCGCCGTGACGCCCCATCAAGCCATCAGTCTATTCGTGGACACTAAATTGAGTACTACTTCACTTGTAAGAAGGCAGTAGTTGTGCATGGCCTGATCCCTGCCCCAGGGACTTTTGGTCGCGAAATATTTAATGTGAGCACTGAACTATTGGCCGTGCGTGCACCCTTGTGTGTGTGCACACATGGACAAGCGTCGTGCGGGCCCAATATGTGCTTGCTAACAACACTTGTCCCAGCAGACAGTGTGGGCCATACAGGAAATATTTGTATTTATTTAATCACTGTGGCTACGACTAGAACACTTGCATTCGTTTTCTGAAATGTTCATTTAAAGCAGGGCAACTTAGGAATACAATATATATATACTATATGTATTATTTTAAACAAGCCTGTGGTCGTCCCCTAGGTCAACTCAGCTTCAAATGAGCATTTAGTGCTTTGCTTAAATTGGTAAAAGTTACGTTTATTTTCAAGTTTATTTCGTGTGACCATGTGAGAACTCAAGAGACCACGTGTCATTTGCAAAAGTGACCTGGGGCATTAGTCTGCCAATAGGGGGCGATAATGGCTGCTGTTTAATTCCATTTGAGAAATTTGCAGTGTAATTGTCGAATTTAGAAAGTTTGGACCCATACACACACACACGGTCTGCTCTTGCAAATTAAGTATTTGGATATTTAACGTCGTCGGTGAGCGACGCAGATGGCATGCAGTACGATTAAGATAATTACAGACCGCAGAGATAATCAGGGCGACCACAGGCTTCGAGCCGTGAGCCTCTACAAAGAGCGTTGAACGCGCTGCTCCCACTTGGCCGTGTCAGATCAGCACTGGTGAGACAAAGGTGGCCAGGGGTGGGGGCTGATAGGGCCAGTCCGTAATAAGCGCTCTCGCCATGATAGTTGTTAAAGTGTTAACGACGATGATGATCGCAGTGGATGTGCAATTAGCGGTACAATTAAAGCGTAAAAGGCGCTGCATTTGCCATGACACGGGCGCCGTAGAGAAGAGGCTTCGCGTGCCATGTCTTAATCGCGCCATTAGGGGGCAGGGGTATTCATTAATGTGAGATTGCTGATTAGTAGTGATTGCAGGACTGTGTTAATCCGCGTATGCTCCTTCTGCCAACATTATATGCACGAATTGAAGCTTCCGTGACTGAAGAAATTACTATACTCATTGCTTTTTTTTCGAAAAAAAAAAACTATGAGTATTATATGCACGCATTCCAGTCCTCGCGAGCCACCATCCAGTTTCTCCGTTCTTGGAAGGAAAAAAAACCACGAAAGTATTTACACGACGCACGGGCGTCGTGTAAAGACTAACCCTATAATATTTAACCATACCATTAACCTCACCCTTCACCGGCGTCTGCACCATACACACCACCACACAGGTAGATGGGACAGCTCTTTCTGTAGTTGAATTCTCTCCACGTTGTCCAGCACACGTGCTGCCTGCTGCTGTGTAACTTTAAGTGCACGGATCTAGGGACGATTTGGACTTCAGTGTCCAGATACTGTATTGGTTTCAGTTAACAACATGAGGAGGATTTTACTTACTCAGGAAGACACACTTTTCAAAAGGCGCCCTCTTAGAGTATTTTTTCAGCTCCTTATTACCTGGTTCCATGTGTGGGAAGGTAACCGGACAACAGCACACATCGGGGTGGTTTATATACCTCACAAAGAGATCACAAACCTGCTTACTGCACTACCTTGTATAGGTACCTCGCTGCCCCGGTGACGAGATGTTAACTTCCTCGCCTGGTCTGGAGGAGGTCGTGGGTTCAATGCCGACCCTGACGATGCGTGTATATTTGTAGTTTGCTTGTTCTCCCCGTAGTTGGGTGGATTTTTCTCCGAGTCCTCCAGTTTTTCCCTCCACATTTAGAAACATGCGATTAGAGTATTTGGCTGCTATAAATGTCCACATGATAAGCCACTTCGTTGAGCTATAGTTTTTGGTCAGGTAGGTCGCTTCTGAAAAAGAGCTCTGTAGCTCAGTGGGCCTTACCTGGTAAAACAAAACATTTTAAGTATATTTTTTTCATAGTTTCTGTATGGTACATCTACCCCACCCTCAAGCTACAAATGATATCACGCGAGCAAGGTCACTCTTGCAAACGAGACTCATCCTATAGTCTCTTGAGTTCACACCTGGTCACGCAAAACAAACTTGAATCACCACCACCATGCCAGGGAAGATGAGAAAAGGATTGCACTGAACTGAAAAACGGGAACCCCGAGGTTGGACGGTGGTCTCACTGTGTGAGCGGTTATCGTGTTGCGTAAAAGCTCACGAGGTTAATCATTAAACAGAAATTATAGAGTAAATACAGAACTGTAATGAGACGTACAGTAGGAAGTCGCGTATTGTCTCATCATTCACGATGCACAGTTATTGTTCATTGACTCTCATTGATACCACGTAATCCATTCACTGAAAGTGCCTCTGTCAGTTCAATATAATTACAATAATGCATTTCAAATGTGTCTATAACTCTCTCTGGGCCATTGACAGCCGATTGTTGCTCAGTCACTTGAATTGCACCAGAACTACTTTTGCAGCTATAACTGATGTCCCGTTAAAAGTGCTAAATTTGGACTTGGTCGCCGAATACATTTGGCTTAAAACGTATTTTTTATATGCGTCCTAAATAGCTGCTGATTTTCGTTGTAAGCGTAGCGCACAATAAGTGTCTGTCTTTTCGGATGCACAAATGCAGGCGTAGCAAGTGCCCATTTTGGGACACAGCCGCCACCTTCAAGCAACAAACAGCAAGGGCCGCACCATGGGAAGACGAATAGCTCGCAACTACATCTCGATGCACTGTCGCGAGTACTGTATCGCTATCATTACAGTGTTCATATTCTTTTGGGTTTTCAGTAAAGCCACGTAGATTGAATAAATAACTAAAGGAAAAATTATAACAATATCACGACGCTTCGATCGCAACACAAGCAATCGTCATCAGGTGAAAAAAGAGGGGGAAAGCTGCTGAAGAAGGCTGTTTATAAAGGTTTAGAGATGGGCGATTAATGTAGGAGAGGTCTCCGTAACCGGCAGTAGGTCTACCACAATCAAAGAGCTGTTTACAAAGGGTTAGAGATGCTTGTAAATGTAAGCTCGGAGAGAGCTCGGAAAGAGCCATCGCCACATGGATGTAGAAAAAGATGCAAGCCGCCATTTACTAACACAGCTAACGGTGGCTGTGTTAGTGAATGTAACTCACAAACGAAGCTGTGGGGGTGGCCATTGTATTATGAGAGATTAGCATGTCAATGTAAGATAGATTAACATGTCAATGTAAGAGATATTAGCATGGCAATGTAAGAAATGTGCTTGTAAATGTAAGCTCGGAGAGAGCTCGGAAAGAGCCATCGCCACATGGAGGTGGAGAAGGATGGCAAGCCGCCATTTACTAACACAGCTAACGGTGGCTGTGTTAGTGAATGTAACTCAGAGTCGAAAATAATTGCTCACATAGGTAGGTAGGAAGGGAACAACACAGCCAGTTATGACATAAACTGGTTACAAACATCTCTAAAAACCTTTGTAAACAGCTCTTTAATTGGTGTAGACCTACTGCCGGTTACGGAGACCTCTCCTAAATTAAGATTAGCTGCCTCGCCCATCTCTAAACCTTTATAAACAGCCTGCGTCAGCAGCTTTCCCCCTCTTTCTTCACCTAATGACGATTGCTTGTGTGGCAATCGAAAACGTCGTGATATTGTTATTTTTATTTTATTTTTCTATCTACGTGGCTTTACCGAAAGACCCAAAGAATATAAATTCCTGCAGTCACGAAAGCTTTAAGTCAAGATCATTATAATGATTACACAACTGACTTTTAATATCACGGAAAAATGAAAGACTTCCAGATTCTCCAAGGATTGCAGCCACCTGAGCAAAGAGGACAACCTGGGAGGTCAGAGGCTGCAGAGCGAGAGATCCATTTTACGTTTCGCCCCTTTCTTGATCTCAACCAGGAGCGAGAGAGGCCTGCATTAGTAGAGCCAGTGTATGGGGTGTCGAGTGATGCTGCAGCGATGATTGTAAATCGATTCCCATGTTCATAGAGAATGGGGTGGGGGGGTTTTGATTCCTATTGGCTTTTTTACTGTAGCAGGAAATGTGCTTTTCTTCATGCGAGTCGCACGCAGCATCCACATCGGCCTCACTGGCGGTCGGACACCGCGCCTTACGCACACTAAATACCCCGCGTCTAGCTGCTAATACTCGTGCAGTATTAACGAAGCTCTTGGAACTTAACTGCACTCCCTCCCTGCACAGCGCTACAGAAATGCCAATAACGACGGCGCGTAGAGTGCACACCGTGTAATCGCATGCGTAAACGTTTATTAAACCTCCGGGTCGACGTTTGTGATGCACCTCGCCTCTGGCCCGTGAGTGAAATGCCAACACTTTAACGAACTCAAGTGGTGTACTATGGTGTAAGGCAAATGTTTAAATCTGCATAGTCTGTTAACAAACAAAAAAATCCGCATAGTCTCATGCCCTGGAGCGGCAGAAATAGAACCCTTACCCTGTTGTGCACAGGCAGGATTTTCCAATTCCATAATGAGCATGTACATGTGGAGCAATCTTGTCACTCCACTGCTGGATGAAATGGTTCCCCACACCGTGCGAGGTTATTTTCCCATACTTCACCATGCTTCTCATTGTGAGTTGATATATGTGGAAGGCATAGATGTTGCAGTAGAGTACAATACAACAGCGGTTTTTGTGGAGCTGCTGTCTGCTGACAACGTTGCCCCGCATTGGCCTGGTGGTTGGCAAGCACTAACCAGGCTTAAAATCCTGCTTAGCTTTTGGAATCTCACGTGATTGTGGTCGCATTCCTGAAGAAGTGGTCATAGGTGCATGTGTGGACTTGTGGTATAAACTAGACAATTTTTTTATTTTACCAGGTAAGGCCCACTTAGCTATATAGCTAGCTCTTTTCCAGAAGCGACCGGGCCACAAATGATAGTCCAACGAAGTGACTTACCATTTGGAAATTTATAGCAGCCAAATACTCTAAACGCATGTTGATTCTGAATGTGGAGGGAAAAACCAGAGTACCCAGTGAAAAATCCACACGACTACGAGAAGAGAGACATGTAAACTCCAAATATACAGGCGTCAGGGTTGCGATCGAACCGACGACCTCCTGCATACCAGGCAAGGCAGTTAACATCTCGCCATCGTAGCGATGGAATTTCCCTGCGGTTTGGACGTGTGTGTCACACCCACGCCGCACTGTGAGTGTGAGTGCCACCACACTCCGGATATTGCCAGGTGGCGTTGGTGGCAATGATGTCCTGAGTTTCCGGAGGCCACAGTCACAGAAAGGATGCTGCTCGAGGTTATTTCTGATCGAATTCCTCCGCGCCCCTCTGGGTTGACCGCTTTGAGTGCTGTCGGAGAGAGTGGGCCCTGTGTGGCGTCGGAGAAACGTCACGGAGATCGGAGCCCAGGGAGCGGTGCATTCGTGAAATTCCACGTGTTGACCTTGCAGAAGCAAATTATTGCCAGGGGCTGTCAGAGAGATTCTATAAGGACCACATTAATAAATAGTAATATGTTACTCAAATTCGATAACCTAATGTTTGGCTCACGTTGTTGCCAGATCTTCTTGCAGCAATTGTGTTACGAAAGAAGCACATTTATCTTAAGGGTTTACTACATTTAGTGAGAGGCAATAGAGTGTGGTTCTATGAGTACTGTCAATATGCTAACGGAGCTCATTTTTGAACGTTTGTTTATGTTTATTTAGGAATGCTTTATAAACGTACGATGACTCCATTCAAGTCTCCACTCTAAAAGGGGAAATTGAGTTTTATTTGTCATCTTCCTGGCTAAAGAGATAAAGGTTAAGTCAATTCCACCATTAATACTGTACAGTACTGTACATGATGTTTTTTTAATCTACTTCAAATGGCAAGCGCCGCAGCAGACAGGAGTCAGATATGAATCAAACTACGTAACCCCAGTGAGCTAAGCTGCAAATGCTCTAGGCTATTTTTGTTAATAAACGCTTCTGCTTTCATCTACTTCTCCATCTCTCTGCTCATGCGCCATGCAGCTGCAGAGGCTGAAGAAGTCCCTCTCGCTCAAGTCCAAAGTGCTCAACAAGCGCAACAAGAGCAGCCAGGAGGGCATTCTCCAGTGTTCCAGGCAGCAGCAGCAGCAGCAGCAGCCGCCACCACAGAAGCAGCAACAGCAGCTGCCGTCGCCTGCATCTAGCGGCGAGCCTGAGGTGGCGCCGCAACCTCCGAGCCCAACGTACCCGCGTGGTCAGCCGGGGCGTGCCGACCGGACCCACACCTTCCAGGAACACAGCTTCAAGAAGCCGACTTTCTGCGATGTGTGCAACCACATGATCGTCGGTACGTGACAGCCCACACAGTGCCAGGGTGGCGCAATGGTACCGGCGCCACTCCACGAAGAATTAGTCCGTGCCCCCCCCCCCCCCCACTGAGATGAAATCGGTGCGGCCGGCCGTTAGCAAAACTTTACCGGCGCCAAATTTCTGTATGTGGCCGTTAAAAGTGAATTGTATGATAACGCACATTTTACGTAGTTATCCCATGTATGCGTTTTATTAGATGTCTATTAAAAGTGCTACCTCAGCAGGTTCTGACAATATCCAGTCTGTGCCTGTGAATCTTTATGTTTATTAGACAGGGCAAATTTTTTTTTAAAATCTCCAATCATTTCCAGCGTTGCTGAGAGGAAATGGGTCTAGACATATATTTCCAGGACAACTATGGCCCCTAATGCATCACATTGTGGCACTTCTCAATGATACCTCGAGTCACATGAGGAGAATTTACCTTCTTACTCAGCAATAGGAAAACTATTGATGTTCATTACAGTTTCCATTGAACTGCTACGAATTGACAATGCCTTGCGTTTTTGACATTGAACTGAGCTCACGCAGGAATACGCGTCAATGCGAAATGTATGGGAATCGATTGCTGTATTAACACATCTGAACCCATCCCTGCGAGGTCACATTGCCCGCGTCATTTCCAAATTTTCACAATTTCGGACATCAACAGGAGCACCAATAGCTTGGAGGGATTAAGACGGAGGCTTTGGGGAGGAGGTTCAGAATCAGAAACAGAATCTTTATTTAGACTGGAGGAATCCGATGAGCTATGAAGCTCCTCTTCACAGATGACCATAAGCCCTTCTTTCTACATGGACAACAACAAACCATGCAGTGCAACCGTTATGACTAAAAGTCAAAATAAATATACATTAAATAACTAAATAATTATTCACTACCTCCTTCAGCGGAATCCAGAGGTCGCCATTGTAATTAGATCTCCCGGCAAGGCAGTTGAAACGACGGCCACATTTGCGAACCCCCCCCCCTCTCCCTGCTTTTGTTCACTCGGCAGCAAAATATGGGTTCACCGCAGTTAGTCGATTGTCAGGCTTGCAAGTGGTGGGGTACAATGTGGATACTTCAACCTCTTCCAAGATGTCGAGCCAGCGTGGAACTGAAGGCCAAAACACCGTCTCGAGGCGCTCTTCAGAGATCACCTCTAGTGGGGGGGGGGGGGGGGGGGGGGGGGGTGTCCCTTCTGCCAGCAGCGGCACCTCTACCTTTTTACCTCCAAGACTCGATCATATTCCTTGCGCTCTCACGGCTACACGAACTGTCCCATTAAAACAGCTGCTCCCGAAGCGGGTTATTTGCGTTTGTTTGTTGACATCAAAAACAAAATGCCTCTTCCGAAAATGGTTTTGCCTAATTTGTTTTGTTTGCTCTCAACTCACCTCCTGGGCCTTTCCGCATTTTCTCTCTCGTTTTGTATGCATGACGCCTTTGGACACTTTGTGAAAGGCACTTTATGAGTGCAAATTATTATAATTGTTGTTAATTGTGTGGAAGGGGCCGTTGTCCGGGGGGCTGCGGTGGGAAGATGGCTCGCGCGAGCGAGCGAGAGGGAAGTGATGCTCTGGCAGTGCCAGCGCATGAGCAGATTTATGCACAAATCTTTTTGGCCTCACCCCAGAGGCCACCAGACTTAGAACTCATACATTTCGTACATTGCACCTATTTTGTGTTCGTCAGCTGCCAATGTGCATGATTGCATACTATTAGATTTGTTTCCGGCATCTGAAGCATTACAAAGCCATTTGATGTTTATAATGATGTGAAATGAATGGACCCACATGTATGAGACACTTTTCAAGGCTTAATATTACGTTTCTGTCCGTTTTCAAAGATGCCCTGTGCTTTTTACAACTGACGGTTCTGGAAATCTCACGTTAATAATGCTCTTGAGAATCAGCAGTCGAAAGGGGTCAGTATTCTAAATTCCCATCGTGTGTGTGAAATTAAAAAAAAGGGCACAGCGACACGTCCATAAATGCTGAAGGAATTGTCGGCTAAGGGGACAACATGAAGTGGTAACAGTCTTCGTGAGGCTTACTGTCATGGTGTAGGTCGGTATGAAAGAAGTTCATACATATATACATAGTTGCCCTCATCATCTTGGTATCGTTCGTGATGTACCTTCCTCGACATTTATCAACACTAATCCCTTGTACTCGGGGCTTCACAGTTGGTTGTTGTGGGGAAACGGAAGGCCGAAAATAGGTTGTCCACCCTTGACTCTACATCATCGGCCATGGTTAATCCACTGCTAGATGAAGCCCTGAAGATATATACACAGCTCTCATTTATTTTAAACGGATGATTGAATCCTCGATCATGGCTATTTATTTATTTACGTGGGTAGCCTGCAGGAGGTGAGATGCTTTATGGCGACTCGCAGACACCACCACTTGCTCATGACACAGCAGCTGTGCCAAGGACATGCATCTTAACTGGTGCTGTAGGTGATGATGCAGTAAAGAAGAGGCCCATGTGAGTGATTAGGCGAGGATGATGGTGGTAATGCTGTGAATCATGACCATATGTTTGGCTAAAGCAGCTCGGTAATTGTGGTAATAACGGTAATTACATCAGTGACACCACAGACAGACTCTTACCTTTAAGCTGGTGTTTTAGTCTGTGAATGGTATTAGTGCCTTGTTCTGCTACGATGGGCTGCAACATTGACTTAAAAAATACAAAAAAATCAGATGAGACCTGTGTGTTAAGTTTATTCTCAGTGCCATACTACATTGATTTGTGCTGTTCAGATAATCGCAGGTCACAGGTCAGGTACATTGAATGCTGCCCTTTATTTAACCAAGTTAGGGCCCAATGAGAAGCATTGTATTCCAGCCACGAGTGACCCTCAGTAAACCAGAGTGTTTTAGTTGCAGGTAATTCGAATTTTGAACATCAAGCAATGTGAACAATGTCACGTGAATCTGTTTATTATTATTGTTAATTTTGTTCCCTTTTCCAGTTACTTCAATTTTGCTTTTGGTATCTTGTCATCTGGAAATTTTCTAGTTTTACTTCTCCGGGGTGGAATGTTGCCTAAGTAAGTGAAAAAAAACAGCTTCAACACTATGGAATAATTTAAACATATATTGCTTAGTTGAGCTAAGACGATAAACTCACCCAGCTTAAATCGCGGATTGCTGAAACCCAGATTCAAACCCAGGTTCCTTGAGGGCTTTGACTCAAATGTATCTGCCAGCTGAATCACTGTCTGCCTCATCACGTGACGTGAATTTTACCGCAGAACTCGGTGATTATGTGTTGACCGCTTGGCCGTCTGTTGCCTAATGGTGGTGGCGGTGGCTGTGGTGTTTTTGGCGTGTGTCCATCAACAGGCTCGGGCGCCAAGCCCCAGAGCAAGATGGGCGTGCGATGCCGGGCGTGCAAAATGAGCGCTCACCACCGGTGCCACGCGTGCGTCATGCAGCAGCGCTGCGTGGGGAAAATGGTGCGTGCCCATGGACCCCCCCCCCCCGCCACACCCATCACAATCCCCACCTCATCGTGAAATCTTCCCTCTCAACTCGAAGCAAATCACATGGGGATGGGGGGGCTACAGGAATATATTCTGATGATTTCACGGGATTTACAATCAAGCCATTAAAAATTATACATCGAATACACATCGCCTATTTGTTAACACAGATGTTACTCACCGAGCATGTATAGTATCTTGAAAACAGTCCTCCTTGGAATGCCTTTCCATTTTGTGTATTTTTTTCACATCTATTTTTGCATTTGAGAGTAACGTTGATGTGCTGGGAGAGAATCAACGCATATCTTTAAATCCTACATTTCTAAGTTATCAAATAGGGCTTAATTTTCCATAAAATATTTTATAGGGCTCCCAACTCCCCAAACAGCTTCAGCTGAAATTAATTCTCGTCAGAACCCTGTCTGTACCAGGGACGTGCGGTCAGGGGAGGCAGGGGAGGCAGAGCCTCACCTGTCATACTCCAATGAAAATAGCTGTTAGGAAAAGTAAAAAAAGAAGAATAATCAAATCAAATAAATATTAAGATTTTCCCACAGATCTGTGTTATAAATGTAATTTCTGTACGATTACATGCATTTTTTATTGTTAAAACGCCAAATTTGCGGAGCTCCGCTGCAAATACAGGGAGAGACGAGAGGTGAGGCAGCGACGAGCTCAGCCTCCCCTCTGATTGCGCAACCCCTCAGTAACTGGATGGAGCGCGGGCAATAAGCGCGTGTCTGTTACTATCTGAGTATGTCACCAATGTAATGTTTGTAGACCCCTTCATTTCATGGCCTCGCCTTCCATACTCCAGGTAACTTATTTCACGTATGTGTATAAAGATATTTAGGCTCGCTGGTCTCGTCGTGAAACTGCAATGAAAAAGCACCAGGGGAGGCAGCTATCACATCTGCCTCACTGATGGGAACGTGTCTAACACGCCCCCCTCAGTGAGGACACGCCCCTTCAGTGTGTGAATCTGGCTCTGACACGAGCCAGTGCCTCCCCAGCCATTGACCTCACCGCACGTCACTGGCCTGTACCAGACCCTGCGATCACTCTGTTCCACCTGTACGTGACCTCCATTTGATCCATCGACTCTGCTTTCTAATCACCGGGCCTACAGCTGTAACAACAGGGAATACGGTGGTGTGAACGTGTGGTGCATGCAACGCTTGTGTTTATCGTCGGGAATTAAACGAATACCCCCGATCGCACGTTCATGCGCCTTGACCGTTGTCCAACAAGCCGGGCCATTGGACTTCACCTCCGAGCGTGACCCCACGCCCGACGTCCCCGCGCACACGCGCACCGCAACGACAACTATGAATTGAGTGCCACCGATGTGCTGCATCTCTGCTGCCCCGTGCATGCAGCCCAAGGGATTCAGGAGACACTACACCTCGCCCCTGCTGCTCAGTGGCCGCTACGCGTGCATCAAAGAGGTGATGCCCCTCGGTGAGAGCCTCCCCCAATTCCCCCCCCCCCCCTCGCAATTGCGACCACGAAAGGTCGTACGTTAACGCGAGCGCTTGCGGTCGGTCGAACAATTCCTCCCATGTCCCCGGCGATTCGATGAATTGTCACGATTGAAGGTCGCATTTTAATTTAGGAATCCTTTTTTTTTTAATCGAGCTGAATGGTAGTGTTTGCAAGGGCGACGTTAACTCATTCATCAGTATCAGCCATGGTCAATCCACTGCTGGATGTAGGTCTCCCCAAGCCAACATCATCTTTCATGATCTTGCGATAAAATAGTACATCTAGAACCCATTACATGCAAATTATAAAAATTGATTAACATAGATTTTTGCACACGCGTGGCAATGCATGTGTCCTGAGATTAAGAATTGATATTAATAGATGAATCAATACTTGACTCTGCCCGTAGTGCTTATGAGCGTAGGGAGAATGGTGATGGAGTGAAGGAGTGATGGAGCCATGGTCTGAAGTACTGTGATGTGTACTAGAATATGAGAATAGTTTAGGGTATCTTGCTCATTTTAAACTTTACAAGCAATCTTATTATCATCACTGCATATTGATCAATGTTTTTATATATATATATACTCTATTCTAACACCAAACACATTCCTTTAGAGTAAATCTTAACCAATTTGTTCCATATTCCATAGCATAAGAAATGGCGTGAAAATGACCTGGATACGATGCCGAGACAGAATCAAAATCTTTATTTAAACTGGGGAATTTAATGCACTGTGAAGTTCTTTTTTTTACAGATGTCCAGGCTGTTGTGCGTTGCCAGAATCTTAAAACGTGGAATTAAACTGATAGGTTTTTTGATATTTCTAAAGCATATAATTTAGACGTTTGTGACAATGAAATGAAGAATATTTTTGGTGAAATCGTAAGTTGTTCGTCCACACGTCTGTCCATTATCTTTGTGAAGACACTAGGCCACGTGAGATTGGAGCAATAACATTACAAAACCGATGTTTTCGTTTCATGGTGACTGATGGGGGGCAAGGCAGGTGGAGTCTGTGAGAGAAATACTGAGTTGTGATTTTTAACAGGCAATCTCTTAGATATAATTATAATAATGGCATATAGCTAATAACAACGTCAGCCTTGGGTCAGAGTGGGACACCGCCGATGTCCTGCAGTGTGAGTAAGGGTGCGATGTGATTGGGACTTAATTTCTCACTGAATATATCCCGGATCGCTGGTCCACCGTGGAGAAGGTGGCACGTGGCTCGCGGTCATGGACATAGCGAGAGGCATACCGGATGTGGCGTGCCAGCCGCAGACATTTATCGGGTAACTGACCTTGGACAGGTTCGGCTGAAATGAAGCCCTGGATGTGACGGAGTGGGAAACGCGAGTGAGCGCGAGGTGTGGGTGACCGCGGGACACGATGTTTACGTGACGCCACGGGCGAGCGTCGTACGCGGGAGCCGGCATCTTCCCCCGGTGAAGGCGGTGTCCTCCTCTCGCCCTGCAGCGTCGGGGAACAAGTTGGACCCCGTGTACGAGGCGCTGCGCTACGGCACGTCGCTTGCGCAGCGCGGCCGCTCCAAGTCCGAGGCCGACGACCCCAACGACGACCCAAACGACGACCCCAACGACGACCCCAACGACGACCCCAACGACGACCCTGGGGTGAGGATCCACTTGGCCAACCGGGAAAACCCGCAAACCCCACGGGAACTTATGCGAGTGAACAATATCGGCACTGTTTTGCAGTATTTGTCGATACGCTATCCAGTGCTCTTCATTTACCGTGCACGTGAAGTATGAAGAGCAGGGACCCCAAGGGGTACCGATTATTGCCAGTTCCTGTCACTCAGCTAGTCATTCTTTTCTTATAATTATTGTAAACGGCCGTCCAAGCTTTAGTATCTGCAGAGAGAGATATATATATATATATAAACGCCCAAACAGATGGAAATACACAGGTATGCTTTTTGGAATTCAGGGCCTTCGCAGATATTCTATTGTAAGCCATATAATGAGACGAGGAAAGCTCTTTCTCCAATTAGGTTCATCCATCAGCCGATACGATCTGCCTATTGCTTGTATCGTGTATATTGTGAAGTGCACTGTGCGAAAGAAGGTCAACATACCTCTCAGAGCACATTATCACACAGGGGACGGCAGTGGTCTATTGGAAGAAGCCATCCAAAAGACTACTGCTCGGGCAAAATAAACTGATTTTGTCCGGATTAATGCAGATGTTGTTCAGGAAATAACTCCTACCTATGATCGCGTAATATCGATTCCTCACGGCACTGTGCGAGCGTCGGTCGCCGTGCTGCGAGTCGCCCGCCACTCCACGTTCCACGTTCCACATTGCGTCTGCACCACGCGAGCCCCACCGGCGTGCGGCGCGGTAAACACGGCATGTGCAGCCCCCCCCCCATTACCCCCTCACCCCCCCCCCCCCCGCGCCGCGCTCGTCACGCTCGTCACGCGCGGTTCCTGCGACGTCGCCGCAGGAGCTACCCGAGGTCCCGGAGGAGGCAGACGCCGACAGTGAGAGCTCGGAGATGGCGCGCGGCCCCGACGGCGGTGGCGGTGAGCCCAACTTGTCCCCCCCGCCCCCACCGCCTGCACTCTGTGGCCCCACCCCCTCCACCCAGTCTGCCTGTCGCCCCGTCGGCTTGTCACCCGGCTCTTCCACCTGCTAGCAAGATGTGTGTCATTGTTGCAGACAAGGGTCAAAAGCGCCCCCGTGTTCGCACAGGCGATGGGCACCACTCGTCTCTGATCTCCGTGGGTGGCTTTGAGTTGGTGGTGGAATTCCCGCACTCCCGCGGCGAAGACGGGCCTCTCCGCGGTACAACCACCGTCATTTTAGCACCACATAGGGCCAATAACACCGGGAGGTGGCCAGTGGAACCACCCCCGCCATGTAATGGATTTGACCAAAGTTGGGGTTTTAACTCTTGATTCACGTGAGCAGCCCTGCAGCTCTACCAACTGAGCTATAATGAATACGTAATGTACAGCCTCTTGTCAAGCCACTGCTGGATGAAGGTGTCTCCACACCATGGGGTTTATTTGACCATACTTAAGCACACTGCTAAATATTGGTTGATGACCGGTGGTGGGGGACAGTGGAGGATGGTCAGGTCTGGTTCAGATATAATTCACCACTGATATTGGCTGTGGCTACGAATCAAACTCAGCTTTCTGGGTGTTGCAACCACTGCACCACCACTTGAGCCCAACACGGCTATAAACAAAGCCATTAAGGTGCTTATGTGATGATGTCCGTTATCGGCCACGCTCGTGTATTCCTCGTATGTGATGATATTCTTCTTGTGTGCTCCGTAAGCCTAGGGGTGTTTGGTTCACATGGTGTCAAACACATAATTCCATCAGGCCCCACTTGGTCACGTATTACGTGCTGTAACTTGACCAAGCTTTCAACTTGAAAAAAAGGAAAGTTTGACCGTTTTAAATGTGACACCTCAAGAGTGTATTGATATTGCTTGTACCATCGTGTACACTGTCTTAGCCATGGGGATTTCCGTCAGCAGGGGAGGACATCAGCCGAATTTGTAAACAATTGCACAGCACATCCACACCGCAGAAGTCGCTAAATACTCTGGGTTGTTTCTGTTCAGTGGACGTAATCAGTTGAATGTAAAAAAAAAACATACTCGGGTGTAACGCTATATGAGGCATTGCTCAGCACTCGCTTGATTAAGTTGATCACAAATTGTGGTTGTGCGCTGCGCTCTCAGTGTTTCACACCACAGAGAACGGCCTCCAGAAACTCAGCATTGATGAACAAAAGTGGGGGTCCCTGGTGAGTGTCATTTGCTTGTGTGTGTGTGTGTGTAGCTCAATACTCTGGGCTGTGTCATATCTAAAGGCCTAGATATACGATGCAATTTCAGAACCGTCGATGGGAATGTGATTGCATGGCGCTGGATTGAACCCCATCGATCCCAAGCAATTTTCTAAGATGAAATACCCACAATGTATTACTTCCAGCTATAACTGCTTCATAAAATCAAAGTGAAAAATATAAAAGTTGCTCCAGTCTCAAGTGGCATTGGGATTGTGCTTATCTCCATTGGCTGCCTGAATCATTCATGTTTATTCCATATTCCCGTGGCTGGAGCCAGTTCATCCACAGGACAATCACAGTTTGTCACTTTCCACAAAATTGGGCGTAAAGTTCTCAGGCCGCAGTGCCGCCCAGTCAGGTAATAGAACAATGGCCGGCTATTGTGTCTGCCGGGATAATGCTGATGACCCTTGACCCTCTCTCTCCACAGCGAGGGAGGCAGGCGGCCGCAGCCGCCGCGGGGCGGTACTTTGGGCAGGCCTACACGTACGTGGTGCTGTACAAGTTTGTGGCCCAGGAGAAGGATGATCTGCAGCTTACGTAAGAACGGCCTTCCTCCCCTCGTTTTGAAGATGTTGCTGAACACGTGGTTATGCACTTCTCCGCGTGCTCTCAGTCACTCGCGCTATGACTTGGGTGTCGCCTGGGTGCATTGTTGGCTTTGGGTTTGAGGTCCCCATGGGAACACGCTGGGTTTCCTGGAAACCCCTGAAACCTGGCCTCCCAGCAACTGCGAGGAGCAGCATCCAGCAGGATCCCAGCTTGTGTTTATTATTTCTAGCGTTGCGGCAGTAATTGTGGTTTTGTCTTATAATATATGCATGTAAATTGATTTTGTTTCTATGTCGGTGTTGCCGTTGTTATTAAGGGTTTAATGAAAATGTATTTGTTTTCATGTAGGCCAGGACAGAGGCTTATTGTGATTGATGACTCCAATGAAGAATGGTGGAAGGTAATGACCACAATACGATTACTTACAAAGCAATTACTCATTGCTCATCACAACGATACAGTTACAACGCGCAAATACATTTCACTATTTAATTTTAGACTTTTTAATGTATTTATGCCGTTGAACCTCTCAATTAGGAGATAATTGTTTGCACACTTTATATTTTCCTGGCTTCACAGGGAAAGATGGGGGACAAGTTGGGATATTTCCCGGCCAACTTTGTGATACGCGTGCGAGCTGGGGAGCGCGTCCTCCGCCTGGCACGAACCTTCGTGGGGAACAAGCAGCTGGGCCAGATCACGCTCAAGCAGGGCCAGGTGAGTGTCGAGTGACCGCGCTGAGTGCTGTGCATCAGGTGCTGGCCGGCCCCCCCTCCCTACAAACAATGCCGCCCCTCCGAGCGGCGGGGTTCAGTGATCACCACCCGTGGCAGTTGCTCGCTAATTAGTTATGAACCGACGTTCGCACTTTAATTCGACAAAAATATTGAGTTGCGACCTCGTTTGCCAAAATTGCCATGCGACATTGCCCGACCCTTGGTGTGCCGGGAAACGCTGCAGTGCAGAGCAAATGACGGCACCTTGTAAAACTGACACCGATCGATGTGAAATCAATGTGCCACCAGTGAGCACATTCTTTAACTCTCGCTTCGATACCAGACTCGTTAACGAGGCCATTGATTCGCAAATGGAAACGTTTTAGTGTGGCAGAGGGTTAAGGTTAGCGATACAGTTAACCATTTTGCGGAGTGCCATAGAGTTACGACACGAGTTGGGGTTAACATTAGGGCTGCACGTCAGAGCGGGAACAAGCAGACAGAGTTATAGTTAGAGATTGGATCTAAGCCGTTGAATGAGCAATGTTTCCTTTTGGCAGTATTTTCACCGCAGGTCTCTATTTTGAGTGTTACGGCCCAGTCTTGTGATGGCTCCTCGTTATTTATTTACCACGGGGCTCTTAAAAGACCAGCAGCAGGGTCCGACCCACGAATGAGCACCTTCCTGTTTGTTTTTTTTCCATGGAGCTGGACGGCCGCCCACCGCATCGTCCTTGCCTCGTGGCATAAAGGCATTCGCGGACCTCGGCATCGTTGCGTTCGCTACGTTGAGGAGAGTTGTTCTAAAAATACAAACACCAAACAGCGCTCGCACGTCCGTGATTGATTCGAGGAGGTGCGACGAGCCTCCCTAGTGGTCAGGTGCTCCGGTCAATAATTTAGTTGTTTTATTATTTTACTTTGCTCCACATTTAGCTGTAAGTTTCAACCATTGGCTGTACATCACCGTTAGGATGTCATCTCGGCCACCACAACTGGCAGTGTTTGAATGACTCGCATCCAAAATCACCGCGTTTGCTTCTTCCTCGATAATTAAAGGGAAAGCCGTTATTGTAAGTTATTTTTTTTATTTGATTTTACACGCCGTGTATTTGTGACGCGTGTAGATAATTGTTTAAATTTAGTTATTAAAAGGGATTTGTGATATCTTATCATTTGTACAGATTACTTCACCTTTTTATATGAAACAGTCGTTGTTTGAGTTGTGCCATTGAAGTTTTCCCCCGCTTCTCCGTGGGTCCCGTGGTGCCGAGTTGTTAATTACCTCGCAGTGCATGCAGGTGCTTGTGGGTTCGATCCCGACCCTGACTCCTGTATATTTGGAGTTTGCATGTTGTCCCTGTGATTGCGTGTATTTTTCTGCAGGTCCTCCGGTTTTTCCCTCCACATTTAGAAACATGCATTTAGAGTGTTTGGTTGCTATACATTTGCACACGATAAGCCACTTCGTGGAGCTATCATTTGTGGTCAGGTCGCTTCTAAAAATGAGTTATATAGCTCCGTGGCCCTTGCCTGGTTAAAAAAAAAAGTAAAAAAAATATATCCCATGCCTCTTTTCCAAGGCACGTGTTGTCTCAACCTAGTTATCTATAAAGTAACCCTTCCCGTCAACGTAGCTACCTTTTCACCTCTCAACGATAGCCCGACAGCATGCTGTGTGTTGACGGAAACCTTCAACAACTTACGAAGCAGTTTTTGTACCGTGAGAGTGTTTCCCGTACTTTTCCGGGCATGGTTCAATGCAGCAAATCTCTCCTAAATCTCGAGGCTGCATCTCCACGCACTGCGGGCACTTAGTTCTGTTTGTATAGGGAAGTGTATCGACACGAGCGCATGGTTAATTCGCTCCGTTTGGCCGATGAGGCGCGTGAGCCTCGTTCCCAGGATTTACAGCGGGGGTGCGGGGTTCACTCATCGGTTAGGGGGAGCGCAGGGCCTGAGTGCAATGTTGACGGTCATGAAACCTCGCCGCAGAGTTTCACAGTCGTGCTTAAATTGTCTGTCTTTGAACCAAGTCCTGTCCGTTCATCTCGCTCACGTTGTTCAGTCAAGCTATGATGAGCTGCCATGTCACTTTGATTTCAAAGACATCATCTGCACGAAGCAGAGCGAATCTGTTTTTGAAAAACTTTGCATTTTGTTTTCACGCCTCGCAACTGTACATTAAGTGCGCAATCGCGCGTCGATGCGATGCCAAGCTGCGCACCCACACACTTTCATAACAGATTATGTTGTCAGGCCTCATTGCTTTGTGAAATCCCTCAGTGCACTGCCACTTTTGCTGCTGCTGCTTCAGCAGCGTTTTAAATCTTATTTGGGCCCTTGAGCCGTCACTACAGAGCCACATTTAGGCCACAATCACTCGGTCCTCTTGCCGCAGTTTTTCAACATTGCTCGCTTCCAACCTCCGGCCGTGTGAAATCCCTGTGAAGTGTTCCTTTAAGCCGCCGCGGCTAATCCTGCAGGGAGCCGCCCCGGTTATTATTTCTCTCCGTGATCTGGCACGCACCAGGGCCACTGGGAGCATCCTCCACTGTCGGCGTTCCAGAGCAAGGCTCATTGCGTGTCACATGACCCAGCAGGACGGTGCTCAAACCCTTGCTTTTAAACGTATACTCCACTGTACACGCAGTGTCGGAGGTCCGGTCTAGATGTCCCTGTACTCAGGCGAGTACTGGGCAGAGCACGTCACTGTTGGCCACCATTCACGTTTCAGCGGCCATACGCAAGATCACCAAGATGCATTTGTGTGCACTATATCTGGCACATAGCACCGAGTAAATAGGAGGTATATGGTATAGCATTGCTAAGGTATTATTTATACCTATTACATAGTAACTATTATGTATTTATTGTACAGTATATCATATCTGGAAGGAGGATTGGTGGCACAGTGATTCAGTGGTTAGCACACTGCCACATGAGCCTGGCAGCCAACATCAGTGGCAAGTAATATTTGAGCCAACTCTGCCCTCCTAATCCCCCCCCCCCCCACCCCACCAGGCAGCACGGACCGACTTGAAAAATTACTTCAAACTATCTTCGATGATCGCATGGTGAATTTACATATATATACTCTATCTACGATATGGCATAATGTCTTTATTGTATAATATACTAGATATATTCTATAAATATAATGCACACCACAAACTACTGATACCTTGAAGAGGCTTTGCTCTGATTGGGTGTCTGATGGGTACTGTAGTTTCACCTAGTTTCTGTCTCATCAGTGCATTCTTCATTGGGAGATTCCAAATGTTCTATTCCATGAGCGGCCAGTGCTGAATTGTTGATCAGATGTTTGTAGAGAGTACGTTTTGCTATCGCTGCCACTTTGCGTTTCGTGCCGAAGATCTCCAGCTCGTGCAAACAATGTGGGCTCTAAAAACGTTATCGCCATTATGATCAACAAACGGTACATTATAAGAGAAATACCAAAAATCACAATCTCATCTATGTTACCTATAAAAACCTCGCTGAGTCTCAAGACACGTTTTCCTGCATTGGGGTGCATTGCCATTTTCCTGTTAAGGAGTCTTTTGCATATTGGAGAAAACCCGAGTACCCAGGGAAAAACCAACAACTCATCCGAATAAAATGACAATCAGAGATCCACACAATACATGGCCCCCACGCAGCCCAATGGTTTTGTGAGTCCGAAATCCGCGTGATCCTCCATGCTTGCCTCCGTGGTGCAGCGCTACACGTCTGGAGCAATGTCCTCACAGCGGACGCTGATTTCTGTCCAGAGTGGCCGTGTAGAAGAGCGATTGCCCCGAACAGCAGCCCGCTGTGGGTTTTTCACATGCAGCCTCTGCACTGGTGAATGACGATGGTGGGAAAGTATTCTAGCCTGTGCTCCAAAACCACAGCCCGATGCAGCCCATAACATATTGCTCAGAGTGTAATAGCAGTAGTATTTATAAAACTACATCAAGGCTGTGTGGTAGTAGAATGACACATTTTGGAATCAATATTGCCACTGAGTGCCACTGGAGACAGTGACAAGCCAATACACCTGCCAAAAGCACCAATTCACTGCTGAGTCTCCATCTAGATACATTTGCGTTTGAATTTCATTTTGTAAGATTAAGAGGTTCAAACGGGATATGTAGTGCGTCACATTTTGGTCATGCACTAGTGTATCCATCATCATCATCATTGACATTGGCCACGGTTGATCCAACCACTGGATGAAGGTTTCCCCAGGCTACTGCCACGTCTCATGAACCTGTGATGTAATAATCCACCACCTGCACACGAGAACTGATTTGTACCTGTATCCCGTAGGGTTATCTCAGGCTAAATGGCGACAGGTTCTTAACAGAGAAGCCGTGACTTCACGGCAAGCTCGCTTCTGAGCCTCTGCAGGCTGCCCCGAAGTGCTCACAGCTCAGCCGGTTTCGGAGTCTTACTCACAAACCGACCCCTCACCTCCAAAATGCTGGATTTCAGACCTGCACTGCAGCTTCATAGAGGTATACGGCAAAGGGAATAAATTGGTCAATTGTCGGATACGAAGCGACCACACCTTGTGCTTTGTGTTCGCAAATGAGTCGACGACAAGAGGCAGCAGCAGCAGCATTCCGCTCGTGATAGCAAGGGAGGGCGCCAAAAATAACTAGACTCTAGTGTGGCTCTTTCTCGTGACAGCTGCCACCGGCAGAACGCTCTGCCGTTTGTGCGATTCAGACCTCCTTTGTCTACGGCGCAATTTGCGGCAAATGCAAAATGGTGGAAGATCCACACACATTTGTTGATGTTCCAATGCCAATCTAGGGCTTTGGCTAAGCTGCCTTGTGAAGTCTGTGTTCCGTTTTTGCTGCCTTTCCACAATACAAGGAGCTTTTCTCACATTTTCGGTGGATAAATTTCTCCCGGTGATTTATTTATGTAATTAAAGGCAGGACTGCACGAACTGAAAAGAAATCTCCAATGCGCTTTCTGTGTGTATAAATAATCTGAAAAAGAATTTTACCTTCTGTTGAAAAAAATATCTGCAAATGAATAAATGCAGCGGAGTTAACGACTGTTTACAATGTCATGTCACGCGAGCGAATTTAATCAACAGTGGAACTCCTCATTTGTCATTATCATTAGCTTCGCTATATTGAACGTACATTTTTCGGCAGTTTGAAGGCGGCAGCGGCTACGTGGACGTGCCGTTCCCGAGTCATCTCTGGAATCCAGGAAGGAAGAGGAAAAAAACAATTTGTGCGGCGGGTGATGCTGTTGGGGCATGGCGGCCAGCCAGGGAGCACGGAACTTTCCAACTTTCGCTCCGTGTTGGTGGCCAACACTTTGCGAATTCCACTTGGGGAGCCAAAGACTCGTGGCTCGAGGAGCAGGAGCCCTTTCTTAGGTGGAGATTGCTGCATTTGCTTAATACAACTCCTATTTTGCTCTGCCCACAAGAGACCATTTTCATTGGCGAAGACATGAGAATGTGTCTTGGAAAACATAAACCGCCACAGCATAGGGCATGGCATACACACAGACCATCAGTTGTACGACGCACCTGGAAACGGTAGCAATTAAGTTGCAAAACAAAACCAATCTATCTGGAAAGTTTGAGGAACGTTCCCTTGGCTAAATGGCGCAAGCAGAACCCTCTGGAAAAAAAAATCTTTCGAGAGTAAATTGAGGTTGTCCTCGGCAAATCGAGAACGATCATTATCGGCACAAGACATTTTTTTAACTAAATGCCACAAAAACATATTGGTAGGGAAAGCCGTCACACATTTACGTAGACGTTGTTCTGTTTGTGCTTTTAACCATACGTGCGTAATGGAGGAAGTGTTCACGGTTTGAACATTTTTTGGCTGTAAAAAAACATTCTGACGGTTAATATTTAATGTACATCGTTGGGTATGACACCCACGCACTGTTATGGCGCTCGTGCATTATTGAATGCTTCGCCCACCTGCCCATTACACATAAGAGCATTCGCTCATGCCTACAGGCTATTGGTGGAGACATTGGACTCTTGGAAATGTAAGCCTCAAATGAATGCATTAGTTAATGAGAACTGGGAGAAAACTTTTAGCTATGGGAAAAAAAATTCTAAAACGGTAATGACTATTTGTATAAATATATTTGAGTTGACGGATTAATGTGGTGTGATATTTATTTTGTAAAAGAAAGTTCAGTTTTTGACATTCTTAAATGTATTCAGGCCTCTGTTGAGATGTTTTACTTGTTCAATTCCAAGAAGTGTTTTGCATGTAGGATAAAATTGGGGTGCCATTAGCAACCCCACATGGACGAGGAGATTACAATCATTGGTTCGCACAGATGGGTTCACCAACGCTCTTGTTGCATATATCAATGTGTTCGACATTGTTGCAATACAGAATTGTGAGAGGTGGCAGTGGCTTGGGGAGGCCTTCATCCAGCAGTGATATTACCATGGCCAATGTTGATGATGTTTTCCACAAACCATTGCCCCCAAGCAGTGGCTAACATGTGTGCAGCATCGCGGTAGCCAGCTATACATTCTGTGTGTACACACGCGGTGTTCCATTGGTTTGCTTCCCGGCGTTGTCACTCATGATGACGCAATGCCCCTGCGACCTGCGTGCCCTGACAGGTGTGCGTGGAGAAGGGCGAGGAGTGCAATGGCTTCCTCAAGGTGACCAGCGGTCGCAAGTTGGGCCTGGTGGCCCTCGACTACCTGGAGGAAATCTGACGTCGTCCGCTGCGTCTTCTGCACAAGGAGCTCCTTGGCCTGTCAGAGGGTTGTCCGGTTTGCTTTATAACCACCGCGGTTATTCTTCATTCTCGCACTGCATGCTCAGTCCCTACGAGTTAATTTATTTGCACGTGTGCTACGGTGCATACTCGCCTTCCGTGCTGCTCCAGACGATCATACAGGTGCATGCACTAAAGTTCTTGTGCACATATGTACATCCATCCGTCAGTCTGCAAGTGAGCGAGGCGCAGGCAAGGATGCCGTCTGCTCCGCCGACAAGTGCGAGGCAAAACACCGTATGGCTGTTCGGTCCGGGAGTTGGTGGCTGAGCGATGCCCAAACATTTGACCCGTGACCATGCTTGTCATTTGAGAGGGTGGCAGCGAGGGTGGCAGCGATAGAGGAGCTGTTTTTTTTTGGTTCTGGGGTAGCAAGGGACTACGGATGATTGTGGCTCTTTACCACTGCAGTGGACTGGGGACTCGTGAAGTCTTTGAGAGCCCATTTAAGGACGTTGGTGTCACATATCCGCACGACTCGCCCACCGACCCCAGCCCAGACCCATGAATGCTCAGGCTGCCTCAGCTGTTGCTTGCAGATGCTTGCTGCTGGTGATATAGGAAAGATCAAGCACAGGGTATTCTCAGAGGCCGTGGCACCTCCATCCACGCCTTATGTTTCCCGATTTTTTTCGAGGTTTCGCTGCAGTAGCCCACAGTGTTCGTGGGCTGCTGTGTCGTTTTTTGAATTTGCCGTTTTCCATAAACAATTGTGAAACCTGTTTGCAAGCTCTGCATGCGATGTTCTCATATACGATTCTTCTTACCTATAAAAGATGCCTTTTCGGAAATACACTTTTACTCTTAGCAATATCTTGAGATGTTTTGCTTTCATGCAGGGATGCTGTTTTGTACTTTTCGTCTGTCCCACTGGCCTCTGTTGTCTCGTACAGGGTTCTTCGTGATCGCGGGAGCCTTTGATCGGTGTTGGCGCATCGTCCTTGAAGGCCAGATCTGGCACATTCGTCATATTTGTAATTTCCCACTGCGACGGCCACGAGCTGCATGAGTAAGAGAAAGGAATTGACATTTTTTGAAATTACATATTCTGCATGACATTCAAAGTTAAACTATCATTGCCCAAGAGCCGTGCACGGGGCAGTTCTGCATTTACGGTCTCTGCTCGCTACGCGATTACAGAACGAGGGCACTGCGCACAATTGTCGAAGCTTTCGACGTGAAGTCAAAGCTGCTTCAACTTCATCTCACTGTTGTCAACATTGGGTCGGCATGTGACGATATGTTGAATGTAGTACCTCCCAATGGCTGCATGGTTTTATGTAAACCAATGGCATCCAACCGTACACGAATGTAACACAATTGATACTTACAGTACATGCTCCGCGTGATTAATCAATTTCGATTACACACAGGCGCAATGAACGCCCCCTACTGGTGGACAAATGCTCATTTGCAGGCCAGGTGGTCTGTCACTTTGTGCCCACAGAGATGAGCTGCAGCCGGTGGGGGGGGGGGGGGGTATTCTCTTTCAAATGCGTTGATGAGAAGTAAAATAAAGTGACTGAGATGTCCCGGCCTATAGGAGGGCACCAGACGAAATACTAAATCCTCATAGTTTTTGTTGTGAATGTAAGACACGGGATTTAATTGACACAAGAATGCATTCCCGCTGCCCTCCTCGACTGATAGCGAATTACTCAGCAGCTGGATGGTTGGAGGGGTGTTCCTTGTTGCCATCTGTTACATTGTCCACGTTCTGTAGCTGGCTCACAATTTCTCCGGGGGGGGGTGTTGAAAAAATAGCTACCACTTTGTGGGAAGTCAACAGTGGTTGTCCAATGGAGAGCTTAGCCCTACCCAAACGGAGTACCGTGGACTTTTCACATCACTAGAGATGAGCAACAGCTTCCAGATTTCTTTCAAGCCTTTTGGGTGAATGCTTCGGACCTTCCCGGTGTAATATCACGAGAAGATGCTTTGTGCTATTTCTCTCTTATTTAAACGGTTTTGATTTAAGCAACTAGTGCTACCGTGTTGCATCTGATTTTGAGACGTATAAAAACAAGCCCCTTTGCTGACATGTCTTATACATGTCTATATATTTTTTATAACTGATAAATTAATCAACAAAAAAAACACTGAAGAGTCACGTGCGTGTTATGACCCCGTAAGGCTGTATGTATTTTCTTACGTTTTGAGCTGCCGATGCAATTCATGTTTTATTTATTACCGATGGGGGGTTTTAAAAGTTTTGCATTGACAAACTGTTGTGTTGCAATAATCGCTTGCTGAAATTTAACGAGCAAATGCACCAAAATGTTACGCATTTTAATTTTACTTTCAAATGATATTTGCAAACTTATTTTTTTAAAACCGAGTTGTGTTATTGCGAACTGAATGGCCTTCTTTGATGTTAATTTGCACAGCGACTTATAGGGAGCTCGCCTTCTTCATGATCGTCCTCATCATTTTCGTTGTAGATTTTTTATTTACGAAGCACCCGTTGGCAGAATCCACAAAGTGCACATCACATGGCCCGTGCCTGGCAGAGCAAACCACATCGCGAAGACTCGAGGGGGAACGCCCTAGGTGTCAAAGGCGTGGTGAAATAACTTTAGCGGGCATTTGCGTTTGACCGTGAGCACGTTCACCTCATACGCCTGCATTGTTCAACACGGAACGTCACGAATGCTTTAATGTACGCAAACCGATATAATGGAGTTCTGCTTATACTTACAAATGCGTTGACCTCATTCACTGTCGACAATAAGGACAAAGCTGCGGTGATCGATCTTGTGAAGGCGATTTGTGCTATAACCTGCGCGCTGCCCTTTGCTGGGCGTAACAATGGGAGTAACAATGGGAGTAACAATGCGATGTCCGCCCCCTCGGTGTTGTTTGACGCCACTCTATGACAGCAACGGAGGATGGTGCTGCAGCAAGTCTGCTGGTTCACGGATGCATTTGCTTGTGAATGCGCTACTCTTTCGCCTCCATGTGCAAATTCAGCCCCTTCTCGGACATCTCGGCCATCTCCTTATTTTATTTAATCCGCCAACGTAGTTGCCAGTTGCACGTCTCGCTGCAGCGTCTGCAGCGAACAAGACGTGGACACTGAACGGCACCTTCATCTCCCAGGGTGGCGTGGTTTTTTTCAAATGCGTATCTGCAAAGCGTCACTCCGCTGAGTGTAACACTGGAAATGGGGGACACTGCGGAGTTTTGCTCTCAACACACCGGCGTGCTGCTGTACTAGTAACGAATTGGCATGTTCTGTTTACGTGACAAACTTTACTAATTGGCTGTGTCGGGTGGTGGCGGGTTTAACAACACATTTATATTTACGCGATCTAACCCCCATAAAAAAACATGTATTGTGTATGATATTGGTCGCGAAAGCCTACGTGTTACACTGACTTCTGGGTTGTTTTGCGCTTTGGAGGGCATGTTAACCCAATTTCCTTCACGTGCGGGTGGAGTTAAAATTAAAAACAAGGCACCCGTCCGGCCGTGAGCTGGCAGACTGATGGCTGCCAATCACACGTGCTGAACACGAAGCATCCACGCGACCACGGCCCACATCTCCGGATTATGTTATCGGCAGCAGCTTGCTCAGCCGTGTAAAGATCGCTCCCGCACTAGCAGGTGCTCGTGCTGAATGATTGCGTGGCTATTCACACTGACGCGAGGGGGCTGTGCAGGAGGGGGGGCGTTGGAAGGCTTAGCTCTGAGACCAATGTCTCCGTGGTAATGTCAGTCTTTCCGAACCATTGACTGACAAGAGAAAATTACTCGCGATGTTTTCAATCAAGAGGCGCACTCAAGCAGGTGGGCAAAAGGGGGAACTTCCTCCTCCCCACCCCTCCGTCACCGAAAAATGACATTTTTCTTTAATAATTGATGAGTGGAGTGTTTTTCATCTGATTTGGTGCTCGTGGTAGGAAACCAATTTGCACCCTCTGAAATGTTGGTCTGCATATTCCGCGGTTGTAAATGTAACTAAGCTCAGCATCTACCACCCTACTGGTCATTTCTGTCCAACTGTAAGTCTACCGTCATCCTTTATGGTGTCACGCAATGTTGTCGTCAATGCTGTCAATATATCTGATTGTGAGTCCATCAGTGCTTGATGTCGGCGTATTGACCACTCCCTACTGAAAGCTTTAGAGCGTTCGTTTTATGTTGCCATTCGGCCATTGGCAGCGAATTCCACACTGGCAATGAGCAGCGCGTTTATGCCATCTCGGTTTTTGGCTCCAAAGGGAAATCCTCGTGGTGCTTGTTGGGATTCCGATTGCAGGTGAAGAGCTCGGCCATTGCCTGAATAGATGGTGTTGTTGTTGTTGTTGGCGGCACACAAGGCCTGCCCGTGGGCTTTGCGTGGAGGGGTTTGTGTTTCAGGGAGGGGACTTGCTTGCTGCGTTTGTCTCATTTATTTTTTACTAAATACAGACAGGCATCCATAAAAGATACAGGGCATACAAACAATGGCCCATTCGAGTTTGATGCATGGTGAGCTGCACTGGCTACATATTAAATACAGGATCACGTATAAATTATGCCTACCCGTCTGCAAGAGTCACCATCAATCTGCTCCATCTTTTATCGCCGACCAGTGCGTACCAGCTTCAACAGACCCAAATCGACTCCGACTACGATCCGCGGCTCGCGGCGACCTGCAATACCCACGTGTAAACCTCGTGCGATACGGCCAGCGCAGTTTCGGGGTCTCTGGCCCAAAGACCTGGAACACACTACCAGCTCATGTTCGGGATCCATCCCTGAGTCTGAGCTAGTTTTCCACAACAGACTCAAAACAGTGTTGTTTCAGAGAGCCTACTTCAACGTGTGATCGATGCGCATTCGTGATGGACTGGACTTACGATAGTGCGCAATATCAAACGTTCTTACTTTTTGCGCAGTATACAGAAATATAAATTCCAGTTATTTTAACAAAAATAATAACAATGTTATTTCAATGCAATAATTTAGCTTGTGCTAATACCTGTTACAATTTTTTTACTTTGTGCTGTTACGAAATATACATCTTGTGTTTACAGAATTTGTGGCTTTTTTTGCAGGGTGGTTTGATATATTTATTTAATATTCTATTTTTTTTGTGAAACAAAACACTATGCATATTTGATGTAATTTAAAAGCGTGGATTATGTTGTGTTTCTGATTGATAATTCATTTGGTAACTTTATTTCTTCCTGCCCTTGCTGTGCGTAAAGATGCGGGTTCTTTATTGCGAACTTCGTGAATGTGGCACGGTCTGAACGACGCCCCCTCAGTGATGCTGACATTGTGGCAACAATACCAGCGATGCACTCAAAAACGGCGTGCACAACACACGGTTACAGTTGACCAGGAATTATCTTGGAGTGGTGTCTTTAAGAGCACTCAGTGTCAAATCTCATCGCAGTGAACAATTTGAACACATGCAACAGCAGCGTCAAAGCTCTCTCCACAATGTTGCTGGCAAAGAGAGGTATTGGGACCTATGCGCCTGTTGTACTCCTCAAGCAGACACTTTGTTTCGCAATTTAAACTTGTATGCACTTTGGAGCGGTTCATACATTTTGAAAACATCTAAATGCACTGAGAAAAAAATTTGGACATGAAAAAGCTTCGCTATAATTTTCTTTCTTATCTAATTACGTCCATCAATTTGCACCCGTGCATTGCATCCTGACATACGTTCCCAGCCTCCGATTGCTTGTTATTCCAATATTCATTCATACCTGGCCACATTTTTTCAGCGCCATTTCAAAAGCGATCCCCGAAGGATGCTCAACTCGGCAACTCAGCGAGTTTGTAAAGCGGATATAGATTCTGCTCATTGACCCGTGGATACGGTGCATTGCAGCCGTCCGTCCGGCCGTTTTGTTAAATCTCCACGGGAGTCGTTGTAATGTGCCACGTTGGGAACACGATGTCTTCTGTATCTCAACACCACTACTTGAGCTCCATTATGAGTGTTGCTACTGTCAGCACGCTTGAGTTAACGCACGCAATTGCCCCTTCTTGGGGGTTAACCTCCCCTTAATTTCACCACCGCCCGAGGGGGCCCAGTTTGCGTCAAACAACGCAACCCGACTGTCAGTGTTCAGTGACTCGGACGGAGATCGTTTTGAATCTGTGAAAATCAGAGCAGAGGCCTGCAACGCTGCCTGTGCCATCGTAATTGTTGTCATCCCGCTGTGCCACGTACACCCCTCTGTTTGTGCCATGCGTTGGGCAAAAAGTGCAAATGTGTCTGCGCTTTGATTAATTATCCCTGACGGGAAGGGCCGAGGGAGTGATGCATGCTGGCATGTTGTACAGCTAGTGCTTACTAATAATAATAATAAAGCATCAGTTTGATTGTAAAATTACGAATGGTGTTTTCTCTTTTGTGCCCGTCTGACAGTCCTGGCGGCGAAGCGTGGGATACTGTATAGTGTGAGAGATAACTCATGTTGAGCATGTCAGAGATGTAAATCATGAGAAAAGCAACGGTCGTATATACAGGGTCCGTGGTTGTGTCTTGCGATTGCTAAACTGAGGGGGCAATAGGATCCGGAGAGACAAGCTTATCTTGGCTTCTGGACTGCAAGAGGAAATTGCAATAAAAAAATGCACTACAATAAAATTCTGATTTGACTGCTCATAAAGTTCTAAATTCCAATATCTTCAGACGCTGCGCAAAGCAGTTGGACCTGTGCATCACAGGGCAAAGCGAGATGTGTGTAAGCCGTACCTTTAAAGTTGATTTTCAAGAATTCTAGGAATGGCACTGGCGAAAATTAGCAAGTGCTTCAGCGGTTCCATTTCACCTGCACGCCTCCCTGTTCATGGAGCCACCGTGCGAGTTGGATTCCTGTTGAATGTGTGTTGGCACACATCTGTAATGAAGAAACTTAAGAGTTTCGGGTTTATAGATACTGCAATGGTTCTATGTTCGAGACACAGACTTGCAGCGACAAAACTTATCCTGGCAGGAGGCAGTACAACAAATAGGTTGTTTAATATCTATATGTGTTTAGAGTCTGATCTCCCATCATACGTGCTCGACACTGCTTTGTTCTCAAAATGCTAAGAAAAGAAATGGAATTGGTCAAACATCCCAAGCAGGATGATGTCCTTCAATGACAGCCTTGAGACCCAAAGAGGCTTTGCTGTGTGCCTTGTGGCAATACTACTGGTGAGCTGAATTCAGGCGGATATTCTGGAAAACAGCGCTGTTTGTACGACTCTCGTCAATTCTGCATCTTTGCGAGCGATTGCGGCAACGTGCAACACGCGCAGCAGAATCTTCATGGCGGGCGGTGAAAGTGACCGTCATTACGCCGAGTGCCCCCAGGGGACGTCCATGCCCCAGGCTGCCTCATGCCAGAGGTCGCAAACGGGTTTAATTCCTTACCCGTACCCGGGTATCGGGTACCTGATTGCGACCTCTGGGATGAAGCCATGTTGCAGGCGCGGGTGGGTTGATTCTAGGAACTTGAATTGTGAGAAGAGACAAGACGTTGGGAAATGAGTGACAAACAGTTACTCACCAGTGACTCACGGTCTACCCAGCTACCCGTACCCGGCCGCACCAGGGTCGCAAACGGATACCCGTACCCGGTCGTGTACGGGTAGCCGTGTATCGGGTAGGGTACGGGTATCGGGTACCCGGTTGCGACCTCTGCCTCATGCTGAGACGGCGCCAATCCCATGTATATCACCTGCGTGATCGATCGCTGTGCTGTTCGTCTTGAAAGCCCCACACGACTCTACTCTTCCATCAAAAGAACGGGCTTTTATGCACACTCACATAAACCACTCGAAGGTCAACTAATGATATATATACAAGCATTAGTTAGTTACGAGCTTAGAAAACCTCAGCTGAATTACGCCATTCATATTCCCACGATTATTATGGCAGTGCTCGCCGCGCGGTGTGGAGCTGCTTGCCACGCCAGGATTTATTGCGCCTCTCATCATTGGCAGCAGCTGAAAAACCGAGTTCAGAAATTAGTTTTGAACCCCTGCTGCTTGCTATAGGTTGCTCTAGAAGGACGCATCATGCCTGATTCCCATTATCGACAGTGCAACTGGGAACACAGAAATCTATAGCTTTTACGGACGATGACATCGAAATGAGACACGCTCCTAGCCCTTGCGTGCTTAAAAAATAGTTGTGTCATCATATATATACTTTTTTTTTACAAAGGAAACCAGTACATTTTCACCCCCACTATACTGTGTCCACTCCTAAAGGCAGTTAGGTTTCTCCATCCACATAGCTAAATCTCTGTATACAGAAGAAGATCATTGTGTTCGCCCTACGATAGCTTCACTGAATCCCAAGACTCGTTTGCATTCGGGTACTGCTGTGAGAACAAAAACAACCGCACGTAAATAAGAGAACCAGTCTGCTGGCGGTGTACTGCCTGATGATATCTGTTTTCCCACGTCATTCATTAAAACAATACGTATGTGTGCAGTACTGTCTGTAACGTAAACATTTATGCGAACCATGTTTTGTTATTAGCAGGTCCATCACATTGCACATCGTTCCACCGTACAAATTGAATAACTGATGTTAACAGTGGGAGATTAACAAACGCGGTGAATGCAAATGTGCTTGTTAATATTCACAGTGAATCCCAGTGGGACTTCCTCGCCGCCAGACACTGCAGCTGCTGGTCTGCTGCAAGGCTGCGCCGACGAGCTTTGCCCAGTCGCCGCTCGATCGCGTGGCAATTCAGGCTGCAAGAGTTGATTCAACGAGTCCGATATGTCCATAGTCCAAGCATACTACAATTGCGCAACGATGCACGTTAATAAGACGAAGACTGAGCAGCCAATCTTCGAACCTTCGTGAGAGCGTTGAGGGTACAGCACGATGAAAAGAATGACATTGGTAAAATGCCGTGAATAAATGAGTGGCCGTTGCCCTTATTTGTGTGTGTGTGCGCGCCTGAGTGTCGCGCCTCTGCATGCGACTACGGTGCTATTGAAATGCACATCCTTTCCATGATATACCATACCAATGATATCTCCATCGACACCGATGCTGTCGTTTACCATAATTAAAACGGACAGTAGGAACATGTCTTATGTCAGCATTTTTCAACCGGCGAAAATTAATGGCACAACCGGCATTGTATAGATGCTCCATGTGCGGCATTATGCAAAATGTAACACCGAAGGTTGCATGCTACCAATTGGTTTAATTTTTGTTCAACAGTGGTGGCATTATTTGATTTTCAAATGCTGGCACTGTGGCGGTCGTGCATAAAACGGTTGAATAATGCCGTTTTAGGCGATGGTCAGTTAGAACGTGTTGTAGATAGCTTAGTTACTTTCGTCTCTGCTCAATGCGCATTGTTGCCTGCAACAATAGCTAATTAAGGATGTAATTCTGTTATAAGGTGGATTATCATATTGAGGTTTTTGTGTTTTCCGGCTGTGCTTGTGTATAGCTGACAACACATTACAAACCTTTGTGAGATTAAGTAACCCGTCACAACTACCCTTCAATTTTTGTTTTTACAGTTACAGCTTGGCGCAGCAATGGTGAGCTTACAATGGTATATACTTAATGGCATAAGTTTGATTTATGACCACGGTGCAGAGGAGGATGTAGGTTAGATTCTGACCGTGACGATGGCTGCATATTTGGAGTTGATGTGTTCTTTCCCCATGGTCGCGTGGATTTTTCTCGCGATCCTCCGGTTTTGCCCTCAGTAAAATTGTTGAATTTCTCCGAGAACATGAATAATAAATAGCTACGTGCCGCATTACTTGCACTTGCAGCTCTCTCCGGCTGTGCTGAATAAGCAGCATTGCCTAAACTCCATACATTACCGAAAAGTATCCCATAATTAGTTTTAAACAACCCTGTACTGAGCTCACACTTCAATGCTGCACCGAGATCACACCTCCGATTAGCACGGTTGGCTACGTACAGTGAGGGAAAAAAGTATTTGATCCCCTGCTGATTTTGTACGTTTGCCCACTGACAAAGAAATGATCAGTCTATAATTTTAATGATAGGTTTATTTGAACAGTGAGCGACAGAATAACAACAACAAAATCTAGAAAAACGCATGTCAAATGTTTTATAAATTGATTTGCATTTTAATGAGGGAAATAAGTATTTGATCCCTCTGAAAAACATGACTTAGTACTTGGTGGCAAACCCCTTGTTGGCAATCACAGAGGTCAGACGTTTCTTGTAGTTGGCCACGAGGTTTGCACACATCTCAGGAGGGATTTTGTCCCACTCCTCTTTGCAGATCTTCTCCAAGTCATTAAGGTTTCGAGGCTGACGTTTGGCAACTCGAACCTTCAGCTCCCTCCACACATTTTTCATAGGATTAAGGTCTGGAGACTGGCTAGGCCACTCCAGGACCTTAATGTGCTTCTTCTTGAGCCACTCCTTTGTTGCCTTGGCCGTGTGTTTTGGGTCATTGTCATGCTGGAATACCCATCCACGACCCATTTTCAATGCCCTGGCTGAGGGAAGGAGGTTCTCACCCAAGATTTGACGGTACATGGCCCTGTCCATCGTCCCTTTAATGCGGTGAAGTTGTCCTGTCCCCTTAGCAGAAAAACACCCCCAAAGCATAATGTTTCCACCTCCATGTTTGACGGTGGGGTTGGTGTTCTTGGGGTCATAGGCAGCATTCCTCCTCCTCCAAACACGGCAAGTTGAGTTGATGCCAAAGAGCTCCATTTTGGTTTCGTCTGACCACAACACTTTCACCCAGTTGTCCTCTGAATCATTCAGATTTTCGTGGGCAAACTTCAGACGGGCATGTATATGTGCTTTCTTGAGCAGGGGGACCTTGCGGGCGCTGCAGGATTTCAGTCCTTCACGGCGTAGTGTGTTACCAACTGTTTTCTTGGTGACTATGGTCCCAGCTGCCTTGAGATCATTGACAAGATCCTCCCGTGTAGTTCTGGGCTGATTCCTCACCGTTCTCATGATCATTGCAACTCCACGAGGTGAGATCTTGCATGGAGCCCCAGGCCGAGGGAGATTGAATTTTTTTTTGTGTTTCTACTATTTGTGAATGAATAATCGCACAAACTGTTGTCACCTTCTCACCAAGCTGCTTGGCGATGGTCTTGTAGCCCATTCCAGCATTGTGTAGGTCTACAATCTTGTCCCTGACATCCTTGGAGAGCTCTTTGGTCTTGGCCATGGTGGAGAGTTTGGAATCTGATTGATTGATTGCTTCTGTGAACAGGTGTCTTTTATACAGGTAACGAGCTGAGATTAGGAGCACACTCTTAAAGGGAGTGCTAAAGCTCGTTACCTGTATAAAAGACACCTGGGAGCCAGACATCTTTATGATTGAGAGGGGGTAAAATACTTATTTCCCTCATTAAAATGCAA